ACACACACACACACACACACACACACACACACACACACACACAATTATTTTTACAGAACTACAGGAAGAGATTCGCGGAGAATCTAATAATCCCCACTGCCAAACATAAAAGCTACTCTATGTGAGAGTGAGTGAATGTACTGATATTGAGTTTCTACATAACAGGTGGGATAGACTTTGCGTCATCTGTGATCGGGGTCGAGTATCACAGTTTTTCCCCCTGAGTCTGTCATCGAGCCCTACCCCCACAGCCCAACCGCTCCCATATTCCCACAGTGCGGTTGTGTATGCTCCCATCACAGCTATGTCTCTTTTTTATATGGTTCGATGGCTAAATGCAAGTCCATTCATCTATGAACGGTCTTTAGTGGAAGCCCCTGTGGAGTATCAGGGAAAGTGGCATGACATGATGGAAATTGACTATCAAATGCTTAACGTTTGTGTCCTCATGGGTGATCATCAGAAATTACCCATATGCTCATAAAATTGCTGCCGCTGTTATTTAGCGATGCTTCCTTTGTGATTTTGCTTGTTATATATGAATGGTTACGTGGCGCTTGATATTCGGAATGAAGCTTTATGTTTTATTGAGCTATGAACAAGAAAAGCTTAGATCAGATTATTTGATTCCTTGAAGCTGACTGTAATAGATATAAAAAAAACACCAAATCGACACCAAAAAAAATCTCTTTACTCATGTCACTTTTCTAGGCATGGCTGGGGATGTATGGTTACCTGCCCCAAGCCAGCCGGCAGATGTCTACCATGAGATCAGCTGAGATCCTGTCCAATGCCATCAGCGACATGCAGCGTTTCTATGGTCTGGAGGTCACCGGGCAAATGGATCCTCAAACCATCAGGTCAGCAGAATCGAAATATATAATCATATTATATGAAACCCAACGCATTACACTCCATGTACTTACCGATCAACACATTTTGGTTTGCAAAGTTTTCAGGTGATTTGGCCTACACTAAAAAGACAAGGCAGCCTTGGTATAAATGATTGCAACAAACTTCCCCTCTTTATCAGTTACAACAACCAGGAGAGGTACACATTCACAATGTGTAGCTGCTCCAGGAAGCACATAAGTATATTGAAAACCAAACAACAAGAAGCACACAGACTCCAGCACCAACTGTCACAGCACTCTTCTCTCTCCCCTCTTCTTTGTGCTTCATCCTCCAAACACACACCTTGAATCTCTTCCTGACTCCTTTCCAACTCTTTCAGTGCCATGAGAAGACCCCGGTGTGGCGTGCCTGACAAGTTTGGAGGGCAAATTAAGACCAATGTCCGGCGGAAACGTTATGCGCTCACTGGACATAAGTGGAACAAAGGCCACCTCACTTACAGGTGACATAAACCAAAATCTAAACTCACTTAGCATAATGTAACAATTAAGCAGGTGCTGGAATTTAATTATTCTGATATTTGTATTATACCCATTTTGCTACCATATATTCTGTATGTTAAGCGTCGAACATGAAACGAGTCCTTTGAGATTTATTTCCTCTTGTTTTCTCTGTTTTCATAGTATTCAGAACTACACCCCCAAAGTTGGAGAGTATAACTCGTTTGAGGCCATCCGGCGAGCCTTTAAAGTCTGGGAGAAAGTGACCCCACTGAGCTTTGACGAAATCCCCTACCAGGAAATCAAATATGGACGTCGCAAGGAGCCCGACATCATGATCTTCTTTGCATCTGGTTTTCATGGAGACAGCTCTCCTTTTGACGGGGAAGGGGGCTTCTTGGCCCACGCTTACTTCCCTGGACCCGGGATGGGAGGGGACACGCATTTTGACTCTGATGAACCGTGGACAATAGGGAGCCACAATGTACATGGTAAGACCTGACAGCATTGTCGCGTTTATTTCAGGGATTTCAGCGTGAAACAGAGATGAGAATGAAAAGATGCAGTTTTTTTACGGGCTACCGGTCCTACCACACTCATGTACACCTGCTACTTTTTTACCCAGGATGCTCCTAACGGGGCTCCAAGAATGGGTACAACATTTTTTTGGGAAGATTTTGAACTGACTGCACTGATCAATTTTACCTTCTGGAGCACGGCTGACAGATGCCGTTCAGTCCTGCTGTGTGCTGACGACCTCAATCCAGTCAGAAATATTAAAGTGGCCTAAATAGATTGAGAAAGTCACACTTAATCGGAAATAGCTGTCCAACACAGCCTGCGGGCAGAAAATGTGCAGGGATGTGCAAACTGTGCCATCACAGAAAGCATGACTGGTACCCAGATCTGTTTCCACATGAATTTCACCTTTAGAAACACATCTGTACAAAAGTTTAGAATTTTTTTAGCTTAGCACATCCACTTGCGCATGATGAGTGTGTTTGCACTGCTGGGTATTTTGATTCTTGAAGATTTTTTCTTTTAAATAAACAAATACATTTCTTTCGCATATTTATATTGACAATCTTGTGACAGGCATGCCTGTGTAATTCTCGCTAGGAGCTGGTGCTGGTGTCTTGTGCATTTATTGTACCCATGACAGCACAAAATACCAAACTGCTACTGCTAGCATGAAAATATTTGATTTGTTTTAGAAAGTCTATATTTAAAATGCAGCTTAAACATGCTACACACGTGGCTCTCCTCTTCTCAGCAACACATTGGCTGGGTTCAGGTGGCCACAAAATCTTTCATTTGTCTTATTTACCCTGGTTATATCAGGAGACATTCAAAGTGGATGTTTGGTGGCATTTCAGTCTGAGCCTCAACCTTCATTTAGCTCTGAGAAATGACCACACTGATTGTAAACTGTCACTTCAATGGATCGTATCTGACTTATGTCTAATATCTTCAAACCTTTGAACATCTTTACTTCCATGGAAAAGAATCTTAAAGTTCCATTGTTCCTTTTTTAATATTGAAAAAAATATATATTTTAAAAAGTGTTTTTCCTCCTTTTTTGTCTTTTGTCTAGAGGATCATTTCTGTCTTTTTTTTGTTACAAAGAGCTTTCCTGCCCTGTTATCTACTGACAGACTGCAGACACAAATGTCTAAGCCTTGTGTGTGAGTGTGTGAGTGTGCATCTCTGTGATCAGCTGTGTGTGGGACATGTTTCAAGACAGATCACAGGGATGGTGGAATGCCACAATAAGTGGGAGTGTGTTCTGCTCTGAGAGGTTTGTAGACTGGTCCCCTTGTTGTTCTGTGCTACTTGCTTAGCGTAAATGCAAAGTGCAACCTAATTACAATGTAGTCCTGACTTTTCGACAGAAACATGTCTCATTAGTCGAACTTCAGGCACAGACGAGTTCACATTTGATCTGACGTTTTGCCGATTTTGATAGTAAACTGGGAAGACAACAGACTGAGCATTCCTATGTTATCTGTGGAAAGTGGTTGGCTCTCATAATGATTAACTGGTGATTCCGAGCAAAAAGAAGAACAATAACTGAACAAAGGCAAAAAACACCTAGAAATATTTTGTTGGATTGTTTCTGAAGTTGGTTATTTTTCTCTACTGCCGCTACATTTTCAAAGCAACAAAGTCGTTTGAATTTGACCTGCAGAGGAGTCATTATCATGACTAAATAGGTATTATTGATGCGTCCTCTTTTAGTAGTGTTGAATAAAACCTGTCGGTGATCGGTGACTACACATGAAGAGCCCAAAACGCAGCAGTTATACAAGGATACATTAATTTAATCCACTTATTCCTGCATTCTGCTCTCTCTTTATCTCAGTTTCAGTAAATGACAGCCCTCTCATGTCGGTGTTAACCGTGTGACGCACGTTGCGATTAATCAGCCTTTCTCATGCAGGGTAATCTAACACAAACAGCTTTTAAACTTTATCCAAAAGGCTCAGGCTGAAACAGATGAAACCACGCAGCAGGAAAAAGGTCAGAAGCTTTTGTGCTTTCACCACATTCATGTGAGTAAGTCACTGCCTGAAAGGCAGAGCAAACTTGAAAGGTGCGGCTCGGTTGTCAGGGAGCTACTTTGGTCTGTCTCTTCTGTTCTGCTGAACTAAAGCGTAAGATATGATGCACTCCAGAACACAACTTCAGAAAGTTGGAATAAAAAAGGTCCTGGACAACTTTTTCAGCTGTCTCTTTGCACCCCGTCCAGCTGAATGGTTGTCACGGCTACCTCACAAAGGTCTCTTTATCTGCTCTTAGCGCTTACTCTCTCCTCATTCATCCTCAGCTATCTCTTGGACTCCATGTTCCCCTCTGCTAAGAGTGTTAGCTGCATGCCATGAGGACATTCATGTGACTGAAATTACAGAAGTTCGGTGTGGGTGGGGGTGGGATGGGGTGATGTGGAAGCGGAGGTGGGAGGGGCCACGTATCCTGGCGTGTTGCAAAGAGGAAGCGAGGAGATGCACAAGGACAAGCATGTGGAGCATTTCCCCCTTCTATTTTGCTTTCATAGCAATGACATCACCGAGCTTCATTCTCCCAAAAGCATGATGTCAGCAGCTCAAACCCGACCAATGGGCATAGCTCATTATGGGGCACCAATCATGGCTCGTAAGTACAAAGTTCGTAAAGACCGCGACCCCTGTGTGAGCAAGAACAAAGAGGTCTTGATGGAGGGGGGAATGCCAAACACTTTGTTGAATGACTAACCTTATTTCAAAATATAAAAGAAATAATAAATGTGGGGGTTTACCGATCTGTGTTTTTGTCTTTTTGCTTTTTTTTACCAAGTTAATACAGGGATCACTGCTGTGGTATTGGGTCAGTTTGAAAGTGCCTCAGTGGACAGAAGCAGCCTCGACTGGTTCAGGGTGACAGAAATGAAAACTACTTTATCTTAGCTGTCAGTAAAACTCCTGTGGGTGATTTATGAGACACATAAAAGTTTTTGCTTCAAACAAAGGGAGAACAAAGAACAACCTATGTAACTCTCACACAGCTAAAATGGACTTTCATCTTTTTTGGACAAGCACTTCTAGCTGTAATGCATCAATATCAATTATACATACAGTCTGTTGCAATTTCTGTTTCTCATGACAAAACTCTGGGATTAGAATGAAGGTGCAGTATTCCTCCTCTAACCCTGAGCCTTTATTCATCCAGGGAATGACCTGTTCTTGGTCGCTGTCCACGAGCTGGGGCACGCCCTGGGTTTGGAGCACTCCAACAACCCGCTGGCCATCATGGCTCCTTTCTACCAATGGATGGAGACGGAGAACTTCCAGCTGCCTGAAGATGACCGTCGAGGCATCCAACAGATCTATGGTAGGATATTTTTTCTTAATTCTTCTTTTGAAACCTTGCGGTGTTGAATTTCTCTGATCTTTATAGCGTATGATCCATGCAGACCTGTGTCTGTGCCTTAAAGTATTAAACTCCATGATTGTAGAATCATAAGTTGTTATGAACTTTTAGTCATTATTTTCAAATGGTTTTAAAGATGCAAAGAAAAGTGTTTCTGCATTCAAATGTATATGCAAATAAACTAGATCTCTTTCAGAAAAACAACCAATTGCATTTAAGCGATTTGTGATGGAGTAGTTTGACCAACATGGCTTCTTCAATAATGCTTCGATTAACAAACGTAAACTTTACTTTTAACCATAGATTCAGTAATACCATATTGTTAAGCAAAATTTTAGCATTACATAATCATAGGGGTAAAATAAATCCTATATGTATATACTGTATCCATCTCAGGTACTGTCGTCTTCTGTTTTGAGTTCGAGTTTCCACTCACCACATCCAGTCAGAATGAACCCACTCTACCTTCACTCTAAAGGTCAGCCGGATGGTGGCCCCACCCAGGCCCTGCCCACAGTGACACCCCGCCGCCCGGAGCCCCGACCACCTCACCAACCTCCACGACACCCCGACCGGCCCAGGACCACCGACAGACCAGACCACTACGGGCCAAACATCTGCGAGGGGAACTTTGACACAGTGGCCATGCTGCGAGGAGAGATGTTTGTTTTCAAGGTAAACGCTTGGAGGATGAGGAATTTTATCTTCCTCAAGGCTTTATTTTTTTTTAAAGAAGAAATTGTCTCTGCAAGCTGCATCGGTGACTTATCTGGGGATTAGTTTAAGTCAGAGGGTGTGTGCATGGCCAGCAAGCGCTCTGTTTTCAATCAGGTGCTTGTGGATTGTAAACTAACAGGGCCAGTGTTCTTTTATGAGATAGAGCACTGTTAACAGGGTGGAGGGGGTTTCGGTCAGGTGTTTGCTTTAAAGAGCCTCTGGTTCCACACATAACATTTAAAAGACCTCAGGCAGCCGAAAGCTGTTAGCGGAGCTTTTAGATTCAAACTGCCAATATTTAAACTGATCATTCCTTCCTGTCTGCTGGTTTTGTCTCCAGCTTTGTTTTACTGTTTACTGTGATGTCTGGGTAATTTGGACGTTATGCAGCTCAGCTCTGTGGTTATCTGTAAATACACATCTGCTATCTCTTCCCAGTAATCACGGCAGTCTCAGTGGAGTAAGAAATATTTGGTTTTCCTCGTTTAGCTGAGTTTGCAGCAGTTTCAGAAACAATTAGGACTATGCAGGGAAAAAAAAGTATAGCCCAACAAAGATGAGTAATGGTTTGTTTTAGTGGAAAAGGTTAAAGGAGGTGTCCAGTGTTGATACCACTGCATGGTGGCACACAGATGCACACCTCCTATCTTGGAGTGTTGGTGTGTTTGACTATGACCAGGAAGAGCTGACATGCAAGTTCTGCTCATGGTCAAAGAGTTACACCACAGGTTTTAAGCTGCAGGGTGTTGAGCTCTACCACTGCATGAGTGCAGCTGTTAGTTTTTTAGAGCCATGATGCTTATCTTGTACATTATTCTGTGGATTAATCTGCAGAATGGACAAGTTCGTAATTCTTAGATAAATTAATGTTGTGATCAAACTGAGAGAGCTTATTCAGACAAAAGGTTTTGTGTGTAATCTTCTGTCTTTTTGCAGTTTTGCATTAACCTCTGCTCTGATTTGAATCATTTCAGCAGCAGTCAATAGAAAAGTTGCCTCACCCCTTAGCCACCACTTCACAGCTTTTGTTCAGACATAAAATCTAAAGTCGATTGCTATGAAATACTGGCATTCGAGGTCCCCCAATAGATGATTCTTTATCAGTTTTTTTATTTTTTTATTTACCATCACAGCGAGATTGGTTTTTACTGATATTCAACATTAATACTGCTTCGATGTTGAGCTTAATGGCTTTTTTATGGAGTGCATCCCTCTTTTTCCTAATTCACATTTCATGAAAAACACAGGTTAACATGATATCTTAGATTTTATCAGCCAATGCCAACTTTCTTTATGTCATGACTCAGCGATTTTCCTGAAAGTTTTTTCTTTTTTTTGTGCTGTTCAGACTGAAATAGCTCCCATGCCAATTTTAAATTGATATCCCCTCTGTTATATCTTTGACTTTGTCCGATGCTGGTTACTCTGCAGAGTGAAATTTCATTTTTTATGAGAGGGGGAGCAATCGCTCTTTTGTCCATCTAATCTTGTCCATTAAAAGAAGAAGGCTGCTGTCATTCTACTGGAAGCTTTCTGTTTCTTTTGTGCACCTGTGAGCAAAAGGCAGGGTGCAGCTCCCGCATGAGGACTAATAAGGACACATCTGATCGGGCTGACTTACAGATCTGTCAGATCTCTCAAGCCAAAGAGAATCCTGTGGGGTTCGGCTCTTTTCTGCTTCTCGCACATCTTGCCAATACTTCTCCAGTCTGTTCTTTTTCCACGAAGACGCGCCATGCTGTCTGACAGCGTGTCCCACGTGAAGGACGAAACAAGGCGTGCTTGCCAGAAAGATGCAGCGCTGAGCTTTTTAACTGCTACAGTATCCAGGACAAGAAGCACTCACACTGACTCCCCGCTTATGAATGACTCAAAGGCTCCAGCTGAAAATATATCTGCAGGATATAGATTTTACATTTCACATCAAATGAAAGAAAAGAAAAAAGGTGCTTTTTGCAAGTGGCCTTCATTCAATAGATGGAGCGTACAACAAGAGAATGCAATGATCCGAAATCGTCCACACGTATATTAAAAATATTATCTCACTAGATATATATGAGCTCATATTGAGAATGAAGGCAGTAAAAAACTGTTTTACAGAGTGTAGCATCCCCCTTGAATTTTTGGTCTGAAAACGGAGAGGACAAGCTATTTGAGTTGTTTTTACAGCTCAATAGTCCTCAGTTCATATTTTACGTGCTAGTATGTGGCAGCTTTCTTTCTTTATTTCAAATGGGGGGAAAAAATGGATTGGGGGTAGGTCAGTCCAGCACCATTCACGATAATGCCAAGCCGTTGTTATAGATGCAGGATTTGGTAAGTATTATCTCTGTCTGACAAGTATGGTGTGCTGATGCTCCCTGTTTTCTGTAATTGCTCCACAGTTTTGTTGGTGTGCTGCATCCACTTTCCATTTTTACTTCTGAGGGACTGCTTTTTTATTCATTTTTTAACATTTTTAGATCTAACTAAGTTTCTCACTTGTTTTCAGTAAACTTAAAATATTTTCCTCCTCCTGTTGTCTGAGTATTACCACTTTATTTCCCTTCTTTTTCATGCTGAGCCCATTTTGAATAATTTGAGTCACGCGGCAGCCACAAGAATAAAATGAGCCAATTTAATAAAATGGTTTTGTTGTATAACTTTTCTCTTTTTCTTTTATCAACTTTTTTCTCCCCTTTTTCCCCTGTTCGAGTTAGAACCAGTTTGTATGTCACCTTCTTACCTGAACAGAAGGATGTGTCATCTGTTTGGATTCACTGTATATCTTAGCTCTGAAACTCCGTCAGAAATGGAAAAACAAATGAGGAAATGCACAAAAATGCTAACTTAAGATTTTTGAAAGCAAAACAATATATGCACACTTCTTGTAAATCTGTATAACGTTGTCCCTTCAGGGTCGTTGGTTCTGGAGAGTGCGTCGGAACAGGGTACTGGATAACTACCCAATGCCCATCGGCCACTTCTGGAGGGGTCTTCCCGGAGACATAGATGCCGCGTATGAGAGACACGATGGCAAATTTGTCTTCTTTAAAGGTAAGCAGCAAGCAGTCACACACACTGCTCACTCCTCAGGAAACAGCCCGTGTAATATGATGACTGCCACACTCATTCTGAGACTGTCTTTCCTCCAGTCATTGTCTCAACATTTTTATCATTAATCACTTTTTCCTGGAAGACAGGTGAGCAAAGGATATATTCTCAGGCTAAGGTATTTTGCAAGTGCTTCACAGCACAGGGTGAATGCCCAGACTTTGCATGGCCAAAATGAAAAACACGTTTATTTCGGAGTGAAGCTGGATGTTTTTTTTATTCATTCAGGCCGGATGAATTGGCCAGTCTCGTTGGTGTAAAAAAACACATCAACTTATTCAGGCAAAAATATTTTCCCCCTTTCATCCCAGTAGTTGAGATATGGGGGATTTCTGAGCATGTGGGACATATGGATTTTATACCGGCTATATCACATAAATACTCTCCTGTGAAAAGAAATAAAATATATTCCGCCATCTGGTTTCTTCTGTATAATCCTAATAAATGCATATTTCTTCCTGGTCAGTTGAAACCATGGTGTCAGCGCCACCAGATTATTGTGGTAGTAAAACAGATTTTGCAGCTCCTTCCATCTTTTGCAGATAGTGTCGAAGATATGCACATCGCCCCACCTCCATAAGAAAGCAGCAGCGCATAATGTATTCGACATGCGGAGTATAAATCTCTTTTGGCACGACCCATTATTTATACAGCGACTCGCCGAGAGCAGCTTGTCTTTTACAACGCTGGATAAAGCCGTTGAATGAAGAGGGAAGAACCCAGCCTTTAATGGTGCTTGACTCTGGGAGCCACAGGCTTTGGGGCAGCTGTTGATAATGAGGAGAATGATCTCATCAGCAAGCCTCTCGGCTTGAGATTTGGCAGCGAGCCATTAGCAAAGGAAAGACCAGACAAAAGGAAGAAGAAGCAGATCTGATGATACAGTACAAAGGGAGACAGAGGCGAGATGGCTGTTACTAATAAATGAACCCATCACATCAGGAAACTTTACCTGTTAAAGGCCAGAGAGTTGAGAAACTGGGAGCTGACATTTTGTGGCTTTGAGGATAATTTAGCTCTGTCTGTTCAGTTTAATCACAGCAAATGTGATCTTTATGCGCTTCAAAGTTAAAATCCAAATCAAATTAATTAATTGTAATGTGATCGTAATCCAAAACATAGCCAAATTCATATACTGATAAAGCCAAAGAAACTCAGCTGGAGTGAGGCAGGAGATGCTGTTATCTGCTACAGAGGCAAGATAATAATTTTCCCTCTGTTATGAAATATAACTTACACAACAACTATTATTAATGACTATACAGCACACCTACTCAGGCTTAATAGAACTCATATTGTTGCCAAAATGGTTCAAATGAAAAGTTAAAATCTGTCATAATTCCGAGTCGAACTGACTAAACTACCACAAAAACTAACAGGCTGGATTTGTCTGGCGCTGGAAGCAGAGACCTCATACTCTGGACAAAAGGAAACGGCATTGCATTTTGAAGTGAATCCAGATTTTCTTTACATATGCAAAGCAGGGTCTTTGGCTTTGACAGAAGTCCCTTGTAATGTGTTCTTTTCAAAGTGAAAAATATGAGGTATACCGGTCAAAAAACATTCCCCACTTTGAAATTCTGCCAGACTTTTTGAAAACCAACACTAAAGGGTCGGCCAACCTCTGTTGGAGGATTGTGCTCAGGAATGCATTTTACTGTGTTACTTGGGCATATGGATGTATAGTATTTGTATTGAACCTCAGATAACTGGAAAATTATACAATTTTATCACGTGCTATCGAGGTTTGGGAAGTAAAAACAAAAGATTTCAGAGTTCAGTAACATCCAGGCTTATCCTGCTCACTTGCACGGCTGTTTCTTTACGGTATTCGTATATGAAATTCTTATTCCAAATTGTCCCAGCTGTCACAGAAACAGCAGTCTCTATCCCGTTAAAAAAATCAAAAGATACATGGATTGTGAGCCTCCTGTTCCCTCCAGATGGTGAACCGAGGGCTTTGATTTCAGACAAAGACCCAGAGGTGGATGAATGGATGGATGCTTGGAGCAGAGGCAGATCGAAGCCAAAAAGAGATGTAATGAAGAATAGCAGCCCCCCTCCCCTCCACCGTCTGACACTTGTGAAAAACAGTAAAACCTGACACGAGAGCGGCCCCTCCTGATGCATAATTACAAGGCAAACCCAAAGATGCCGTAATCGCTCCTGCTGTGTTTCTGATCACCTGCCAACAAATCATTACCAGTTTTCTTATAATTTACAAGTGGGCGTGCAGGCCGCTTTGGTTTCTCCAGCAAATAAAATGCACGGGCCTTCCTTGTGCTGGTCCAAATGTATTTGAGAGCTGTTGATTTTTAATTACCATTACTTTTCCATAACTGACTGAGAATTCATCTTTAAAGCAAAGTGAAATGATTCTCCTCTTTTCTCTCTTTTAATCCTATTTAGGAAACAGATTTTGGCTCTTCAGGGAGGCAAACCTTGAACCAGGCTATCCACTGGAGCTGGTTGATTATGGTCGAGACATTCCTTACGATCGCATAGATGCAGCCATCTGGTGGGAGCCATCCGGCTACACTTACCTATTTCAGGGAGATCGGTAAGAACGCTTTCAAGCTGATCATGAAGAAGCCCTGTAATTCAGCTGATGGCAGGTTCTTTTGTTCAAAGAACCATTAATGTAAAGTTCTGAAGCCTGCAAATGTTGGGCAAAGCAAAATACATTTTCTTATTTTTCAAATAATGCCTTTGTGAAGGTGCAAACACAAAGCACAAACTGAGCAATAGAAATTCCACCTGTAGGCCTGTAGGCCTGTATAGTCCAAGCTGTCTATGCTTATTTCATTAGCTTTCCCAACCATGACTCAGCACACCTTCATCTATGATCTCTACAGGCTGGCGACATAGTTTAGAAAGTAGACAACGTTTTGATCTTGCAAAGTCAAGAGAGAAAATTCCCGCGCAATTCAGCATAAATAATAACTTTGGCCACATTGTCGTGACACTGACATATACAGCGATTCAGTTTTTCTTAATGGTTAAGATTCCCAGCGCTTGTTTTTGAAAGTTTTCAATGGGAAGCCACCTTGAAGGATAACCAGCAGTTTTATTTTAATGCTTCTTTCCTGAAAAGGTCACGGGGATGCGTGAACCTGCTAAAACTGACTCAAACCCTAACAATAACAGTCACTCTCACACACACACATACACACACTCCGAGCTGATAGTCCCTCTGGCTAACATTCAGTTTGTATTTACTCCGAAAGGCGATTGAAATGTTCCGAGGAAACAGTTTTGCTGTACACATTCCACGTGGGTCCACTGTAAACTGTCATTCAGAGTTTAGATAGTGTCTAAACAGTGGCGGGCCTCCCGTGCGCAGGTACTGGCGTTTCAACGAGCAGTCGCGGTCGGCTGACAGAGGATACCCAAAACAGATCAGCGTGTGGGGTTCCTCCGTGCCCTCTTCTCCCAAAGGGGCCTTCCTCAGCGATGATGGGGGTGAGTTGAGACCATATGAGAAATATGTTTGTGTGGCCGTATCAAACAATCGGAGCGCTGTCATTCGCCCATGTTCGGCCACCGCACACACGTCACGGCGCTTTTTTAAAACCCGGTTCCTCTCTCTCCACGCATGTCCCAGCCTACACCTTCTTCTACCGGGGCTCCAAGTACTGGAAGTTCGACAACCACCGCATGAAGAGCGAGCCGGGCTACCCCAAATCCATCCTGAGAGACTTCATGGGCTGCAGCGTGGACCTGGATCCCGACAGGGACACCGACGCCGGCCGCAAGTACCCGGACGTCAACCGCCCGCCGTTCAACCCGGACGCCGGGCGCGACAGAGACCGCAACAAAGACCGGGAGGGAAAAGACCGCGACGGGGTGGACAAGGACGCGGGCAAAGGGTCGGACGGCAGCGACGGAGACGAGGACTACCGGGAGGGCCGAGAAGAGGACACCAACGAGGTGGACGTGGTGCTGACGGTGGACGACGAGGAGAGGACCATGAACATTCTGATGGTCACCATCCCGCTGGTCCTGGTGCTGTGCATCCTGGGGCTCATCTACGCCATCATCAACACGCTGCAGAGCAAAGGGGCGCCGCGGCTGCTGGTGCACTGCAAGCGCTCGCTGCAGGACTGGGTCTGAGCCCCGACTGGAAGCGGACTTGGACCTGACCGGGACCCGAGACGCCACCCAACCTCTGATCAGAACCCCCACTTTCCCGTTTTTGTGCTCAATGGCTCGTAGTACATGTGGTAGTAGATCCATGCAGATACTGTACCAACACATCGGCACTCACAAATACAAAGCAAACATAAATTATGCCTTACATTCAGACTAACAAACACACACACACGCACCCACACACCTCCTCCTGTCCCCCATGGTGCTCTACAAAGCGGTGACTGTAGTCTATTTATACGAGAGAACTTTGCACATAGTTTTTTTTTTTTTTATTGTTTTGTTTTGGTTCATTCTGTGTGACTTTTTGTTTTTGTTGTTGTTTTTAAACCAGGAAGGCTTTTCTGGCACTGGCCTCTCCCCGTTCCCCTAATCCCAGCAGGGGCTCTTTCCAATCTGATAACTTGACATCTGCTCATGTCGTCTTATTGGCCACAAAAGAAAGGAATGCAAACGGCTTGCAGACTGACCACTGTGCTTCAGGTACAGTTTCGTAGGGGTCTCTCTTTCCCCTCATAGTTTTTGCTCGGTTATTTTTCCTGATATCGTATGTCATATGCAAGGAGGTGGTTTAGAAAGTAGTGGATTTGGTTTACAGTAAAAACCTGCCATGAGCCCAGATATTACTCTCTTATGGTGGCGTGATGGTTCATTACAATTGAAGCCATTTTTTTTGTCACCATTTACAGTCTTGTGCAGCAGTCTCATACCCCTTCTTGTAATTTGTTTCCAGCCACCAGACTTTCATATCTTTAAAGAGTTACCTCAAGCGATAATTTTTCGGACTTTATGAAGATCTGATTTTGCTTCTTTTCAATCCCTTAAGATAAAACTATGTCAATTCAAACTCCAGGGATCAAGCAAACCTTTTCCGTGGAGAATTGAGGCGAGGGGAGGCTAAAGACTTTCCACAGGACAGCGCGCCAGCGGGAATAGCAACAGTTACAGAATAGTTGCTGAGATCTGTTCCGTAAACACTGCACGGCACTGTCAGGGAAGTCTTTTATGTACTAAACATGAAGCTACAAACCGTTAGCTTATGTTCGCGTTCGGACTGGAGGCAGCTGGCTGGGCTCCCCCCAGCATCTTTAACTTTTACAGCTGTTCACATTACACTTTAGTTAGTTTCCTCTGTCATATAGAATTAGTATAAATTAGATATAGAGGAGGCACTTTTTTGAGGCTGCGTGCACCGTCGGCAGTTACATTTTAGAAGTCTTAACATGGTAGAAGGCTTATAGATATTAGACCTAAGTTTTAAGAAATTGGAATTTCTGTTTTAATTCTAAAAAACCTGAAGCCTTATTTTTTGTATTGTGCTCAGTCGGATATATACCTTCTTTCTTTACCTTATTTGGAAACTATCTAAAAACCTTAGAGCTTCAAGGGTAAACAAACCTTAAAGGGGAACCCCTCCCAATGCTTTCACAGTTACGGGTTTAATTCACAATGTGCCTCTGTTCTGTCAACAGTGGGAGCTTTTTCTTTGTTCTGCAGCAGAGTTGGACTGACAGGAAATGTAAAGAGTCGACTCATTGTGAAATGACACAGGAGACAGAGCTTTGGCCTATCGCGGGCAGGAGTTAGAAGATAAGGGACCGACAAACCAAAGCCTTAACATCCCACGTGGTATCCGACGGGCCCGTCTTCCCTGTCTCTTTGTTTTATTTTCAAGGCAATTTGGGAAAACTCTTGTTGCAATCCTTTTCCACTCTAAGGGCACCTGTGTGCTTCAGGGTGGGCTGACACCATTCGGGCTCACGTGAGCGCAGGCTAATCCTCTTAATCAGAAACAGCAGGTGTGTGCAAATGCCGCTGACCCCCCGAGACCCCCAAACCTAAATCTTTAACTCCACATAATCAAAACACTTCCCTTTCCCTTTTCATCTGGCCAGAACAAATAAAAAATGGAGATAAACCCCTCATTACATCTGTATGAAAGCGCTGTGTTGACGCTTTTAATGGCTATTGATGGTTGAGATTGGCTGCAACAGAATCCACCGCTACATTTGAAGCATAGTTTTAGTGTATTTATAGTTTTCAGGAGTCAGACTGAGTACCTGGTATGAATAATGGATGGCTGGATGAAGAGTCGAACTGAACAAAAAAAAGTTCCAAATAATTAGAGCGGTAGCTGCAAGCAGAAAATCTTTAAAATAGCAGCAAAGGTGTTCGGGTCCATTAAAGGGTCTCAAGCGGGTGAAACCGAAGCAGCAGCTTAGTTGAAAGGCAGGATTTGTCTCTGATCTCCTCTTGAATACAAGTAAAAAAAAAAAAACGGTCTAAATCGAGATGTTTGTCTTCACTTCTCAATTGGAGGAAGGCTTATCTGAGCTAGCATGTTTGCCAGGTTCAGGTTACAAAGATGTAGACAGCGGGGGTGTGGGGTGTGGGGGTGGATTCTAAATTTCCTGTAGCATAAATGAGCAAAGGTTGGGTTATTGGGGGCGGGGGGGGGGGGAGGCAAAGGGGAAAGGGACTGACCTCGTCTCCCTGAGCTTGCAGAGTTTGGATGAAAAGAGGGAGGGAGAGAAAGAGAGAAAGAGAGCTGGCAGCAGCTCATGTGACCCAAATTCTTCCGCGATCCCAACGGTGCTGGCAAGGAGGAAACTCAAGCTCACAGTAGGGCGGCAGGCCACTTTAGGACAGCTCAGACAAATGTGTTTATCGCCGTTTGAATTAAGTCCTCACCACCAGAAACCCCCCAACAGGTGAGGAGAGGATGAGGTGACCCCTTCCGAACAAGCTGAGCTAAACAGGAACGCAGACAGGAAGAGTCAAAGCCGAATCGGCCGTCACCAGAGGTCTGGAGATTGATCCGTGGCAGGTCGATCGCGGTTGCTCGGAGACGGTGTCCCGTGTCCATCGCTCACCTCCCCATCGTTGTAGGTTTTTTTTTTGCGGGTGGGGGTTGGCGGGCGCAGCTAATCAGCGTTAAAAGCACCACCACCATCCCCCCCCCAACCAACCTTCGGCTCCACCGTCCTCTGCTGTCCTGTCCCTCGCTTCCCATTGGTCTGTCTGGCTCATCAGCGGTCAGCCGAGGAGCGTCTGGACAGGATCAGAAAGTGCAGACTCACCGCACAGGGGGGGGGGGCAGCGATGGTCTTTATCAGTCCTCTTTGTACCGCACGAGCCAAATGGTTGTCTTCAGAGTCGGAGTTTGCGATTCAGCTAATTCTAATTCGATCCCGCTTATTGTTTCAGGGAAAAGAGCAGCGGAGAAGATTTGAAAGGTCAGGGAAGAAAGCTGTCCAGTCTGATTGATGTGTGTGTGTGTGTGTGTGTGTGTGTGTGTGCGTGTGTGTGGGTGTGTTGGTTGAGGTGATCAGTTAATCAACCCTACTCTCCATCAGCGAGGCCTGCTCTCCGATTGTAAATCTCCCACCCCCCTCTCCATCCCCTCTGCATACTCAGCCCGGCCCTCCAAAAGCCCGAGGGGATCATAACAACAACAATGGCCTTCTCTCTTCCACTCCCTCTCTCCTCCCTCTTGTTTTCTCTCTCTCTCTTTCTCCGACACACACTCACACAAACACACGATTGTCTCTGTGAGCCTCACCCTTCTCCTCCCCCCCCCCCCCCCTAAGGAAACTAGTCCAAGCTAAGGTGCAGCAGAGCCTGTTTTGAAGTCCCACCTCCCAGTTTTAGCCGGTCAGGGATTTGCTTAAAAAAACAACAGTAAGAAAAAAGACTACCTGTCGGGATTCCTTCAGTCTGCTGAGTGCCCACTCGTAACGGGAAGGAAATGTCGGATTTAACGTTTGCAAATTCCAGTGATTTTTAACGCTCAGTTTGGACTGAGTGAGAAGGAAAGCTGGGACACGCTGAGCTTGTCTGTGTTTTCATCTCTCTCAGGATGTGTCTCTGTAAACCGGCCATGCTGAGCCTTCCTGACTCAGACCCGATGTTTTAGGTTTTTTCTTTTGGCTTTTATGTTTTCTGTTTTGTTTTTTTTTTTTTTTTTTTTTTTTCCTAATCACCACTGTTGTCAAACGCTGTCATTCACAAGGCGAGTGTTCTAAACCACTTTCCCCACTCTGTATTTTTGATATTCGTCACCATCGATGTCACCCGTTCCTGTCCATTCTAATAACTGCGAGCCTCAAGATAGCTGCGTCAGAGCTTTGAGAAACTCAGTGAAGAAAAAAAAAGAATCCATACAAAATGGACTCAAAGGGATATCTAAAAAAAAAAAAGAAAAAGCAACAACATAGGGACTGCTCCGCTTCATTTTCACTGGAGTTGGCTTTGTGGATTACAAGAATCCCAAAGGACCGTGGGCTCCCTTATTCCCAGAATACATCTCAACTTGCTCACTGAGCCCATCCACTCTGAAACCACTTGACTCTTTAACTCAGCACTCAGCTAACTCAAGCAGTCACTGAGGGAATGGATCGGGGGAAAAAAGAAAACTGCCTCCATCCTCTAGTTGCAGCTACAGTAGAAACTAGAGTGATTGTTTTGTTTGTTTGTTTGTTTGTTTCGGATGCGCTCTGGTCTAAACTAACTGTCAGTAGTAGAACTGAGCATCTCACACTTTTCGGTCTTTTTAAACGCCTTTTTTTTTATTTACACCCGATTAACGGTGCATTGACTGTTCTGGAAAAAAAAAACGAAAAATGAATGCAGAAGCTGATTTGATTTTGTGCTTTTTTTTCTGCAAACCTGATTCACTTTTTCTGTCTTTAATAACATTCCAATTAGTTTTTTTCCCTTTGATTTGTTTAGTTTTTTTTTTTCTTTAGAAAATAGAAGATTTTATACATTTGTGTTCTGTGTTCACTTCTAGTTGAGTGTGTTAACAAGCCATGCTGGACATGTACACATTAAAATTGCTCTGAAAAATCTTCTAAGATTCACTTGAGTTTTTTTTTTTCCCCCTTACATTTATTGGAGCAGAGTAAGGGAAATACAATTCCGCGTATACATAAAAGGCACACACCCTCCGCTCTTCCTGCGGTGAGGTCACTGTCCAGAGGGGCTAACTTCCTGTCTCACACGGGACAGACGGCAGAATGTCCTTATGGGCAGTTGGGAGGTGGAGAGAGTGGGGCTGGCCGCTTGCCAGAAAGCCACATGAGCAGGGGAGGAAGCTAGCAGGTCACTTGAGCAGCCTACAAGAAACCGAACAGGGAATGGTGTCACACAGAGAGGAAGTTCATTGTTCACAGCACCACTGTGGACTTTTTCCAAACACAACTGCAGTAGGCAAGCAGACTTTAATTACTTTTTTTATTTTTTACAAAACATAGTAAGCTGGCATCTTCTTACCTCCTTCAAAAACTCAATTAGAAGACTTCTTTTGGCCTTGTTTAAATCATGCTGATAACACAGTTTTCCATGGAAAACAATGTCGCGTTCGGGGTAGATTTGCTTAAAACCGTCCTGTTTTATGAACGGTTCAAAGGTATATCTTCAGATCTGGCAAAATATCAGCTGAACCAGTCATTCAGGGTAATTCAAGGTTTCTAAACAGGAAGAAACATGGTATACAATACAATACAATTGGTTCAGCTGCATGAAAGTGCCCCAAATAGGGCCATTAATTTATATAACTTGAAAAGGTGTGACTGTCCAAAAAGAATCCATGTCTGTTTTCACCATTTTGCATTCAATTTGTGTGCCACCTTTTGTGAGTGTCAAAATGTCTTAGTAACACAATGTAACTAAAAGTTAAATCTTAACTGTGCCCCAGTTAAAAAAAAGTAGGGACACTTTATGAATAAAACGGAGTGTGAAAATTTGGAAATCTCAAGGAGCGCTGTTTTATTTACAGAAAACCTGAAACATTTGGAATTTTGTAAATGGAACCACTGACTCTTCCGAACTCACCTTTTGTGGCACCTGCACTTTTCCAGAGATGGTTTAGAGTGCACCTCAAAGAGGAAGAGCCTCTTAGAAAAAGAAAAAAAAACATGGTCAAAGGTGTGTAGATCTGAAAGACCAAACAACTGCATTGAATAATAAAATAATCTAATTATATTTGTCTATATGTGAGTATTGACTGTTGTTAAAATAGGAAAAGATCTTACTTGGGCGAAAATGTCCCCACTTCTTTGATCTCTATGGTCGATACTCCAAAATCAATGTAATTTTTTCATGAAATTTAAAAACAACAAGCAAATCACAACTTTATAGAAATGGGAATTCCACTTTGCAGTGCATCCTAACATTATTGTAACTGACTTAAAAAATACTCACATACTACTTACATTAAAGTTACATTGTTTGGTATTAGTAACACACATTTGTACAGTCTTCATGAATTGAATCGAACTCAAATCCAACCACTTGCACAAAGCAACACACGTAAAAAACATTTTTCAAACGTCTGATTGGTTTGCACAACTGGTATATTGAAAGGTATCTGGACAAACAAACCGTTCATAGTTGACTGCCATAGGAAAATGTCTGATGGAGCTTATTTTTTGTAGTTGCTTTTCACCTTTTGTGAACTCCAAAGTCCAACCTGTAAGCAGAACAGGATGACCTACTTTGAAGTGCAATGCATGCTAACCATTAAGTTTGATCTTTTTTTTTGGTTAGTTTTTCGTACATACCTCGGTCCTTTCTGTAAACACAGCAGTGGTGCGTGTCCTTTGAGCGCGTAGCACTTGAGTGTGGCCTGCTTTTCCGCTGCGTTTACATGCTTTTAATTGCTTTCCTAATGCGTATGTGTGTATGGAAGGTTCAGTTTGGTGAAGATGATTGCTTGTTAAATCAACCTGCCACAGTTATCACCAGGTACACCCTGTGGAGTGCTGTAATTGCTTGCAGTTGTGTGTTTTTTGCTCTTGGTAGAAAATGAACTCACTTCTAGCCCCACGGCACACATGCATCCATTATTAGCAGGTATATGCAAGACAAGATGTTAATTACAAGCGGCTGCTGTAAATAACTTATGAGGCATTTCTGAATGGAATGCAGCTGAGCTTTGTTTTTTTTATTTATTTTTGTCATTATTAATTAACACCTGTTGTACAAACCGGCTGTTGTGTACCAAAAATGGCATGGTTTCAGTGTTAGCCCATAGTCAAAACAATCATTTAAAGTAAAACAGACCTAGCACTTTCGCTGAGATATAATTAGTGTGTGCTTTTTTGGCTTTACTTTCATAACTTCGACACTTAACTTGCAATGAAATTGCATTTTATATCAAGATATTTGAATGTGGTAATTAAAGTCCTACCTGTTAACATCCCATGACACATACATTAGCCATCTTATTTTTTAAAAATTGATCCACACCAGTGCAAAACATTTTTAAAATGTACGAATCAAACAGTTGTTAATGAATTGTTATATGACTCCAAAATGACTCGAGTATTCGTATATATTCTGGTTTGTGCAAATATCCAGTAACTCATTTAGACTAGCTGATAAAATCTCATGAAAGTTTAATGAGTGAGGGAATGATTTTTGTCCATATAGTGTCCATAAATACTTGAAAGCTCAACTCAGTTCCAGTTCCAGTTAATCAACATATGAGAACAGAAACTAAAGATTACACAAAGAATTGGATTAGAGATATCTGGATTGCAATATAAAAATCTCCTGTGGCTGAAGGCTTGCTGTTTGTGTGGCAGTGCGACATTAGAAAATAATTCCCTAAACTGACCTCACAAAAAAGTTTCTACATGTAATAGACAAGAAATGCTTCAGCACAAAACGAGAAATGTAACAACTTCCCTTCTGCCAGTGTTTTCCCCCCTTCCCTCCTCCCGTTGTTTGACCGTGAGGTAATGCTGAGGTAACATCTGGAGCTGTGTTACAGCTTGTTTGACTGTATTTTGGTGCTAGCCTTGGCACACATCAGCTCAGCAGAATGTGTTGACATGCAGGCTGGCAGCCTGTAGGTCAGTCCCACGACACTCCTGGTCCTTGTAAAAATTCTGCTCAGGACAGAGGTGTAGCTCGTGGCTAAAAAACACCAACACTCATAACAATGAGTTTATGTTATGCAGTTGTGGATAATTTGGCATGAAAAACGATAAGCAATCGCAAAACATCCATGTCAGTCCAAATATATATAAACAGGACCAGACCATTTCTATTTTTGATTTCTATATTTTTTCTTGATCCACCACCAGAAACCATTGCCTTCGTTGTCTACATCTCTATTAATTCCATTTTCAGGTCTTTTATTTTTCATACCTGTTCTTTTATTGGCCATATGTATCAATCATGCATGCATTTGTTGTTTTGCTAACTGTGGCTGATCTTCAAGCAGTTTCCATTGCTTGAATATCACCATTCCGGATCTCAATTTACAAGATTGAATAGATGTGTGCATTGTCAAATCTTGTCAATGTTGGAATTCAGTCCATATAAGAGAAAATACCTTTTAATAGTGCATAAATAAATTACTCTACTCCTAATGTATTTACAAAATTGACAAGTTCTTTGAAGAGACAGTATATTTCTATAGTTTTAATATCAAGAATGTTTCTCTCTACTACCAGACAGCTCAACACATACCAAGTGACATGGGCTTAAATAACATCTGTCAGTTTTAGGCTGGACAATTGAATTTGATTCTAAGAATTAAAGTACAATTAACTGCACCCTAATATAATAGTTAAT